ATAAAAATCTATTACGTCAGGGATTTTTCAGCCAATCGATAACTGGCTAACATATGTGACAAACGGCATGAGTTTCTGTTTAGACAATCAGCAGACCGCTTGCGGCCGGGCAGGATTTAATGTCTGCGTGGCGCATACACTTCCGGGTCCTAAGTATAAATAGCTACAGTAAGGCTTGGGGAGGGGGCGGTACACATAGTTATTGTAGGGCGGGGTGGGGCGGGTGGCGGTAGCATGGCTTCTCCAAGTTGGGGTGGAGCTGGGCGCGGTGGCGATGGTACTCCGGACTACTGTATGTTAGGGGTGGGGGAGTGGGAATGGTATTTCTAGTAGGTTTAATGCTGTTAAGTTAAACAAATACATAATTAACTGCAAGCTTAAAGAACTGCTGCCTTGTAGTTTGTTCTTGGATGGATAAAGGTTTTAGAAGCAAATCCAAAATGAAAAGCAGACAGTAATCGGAGTCAATGGCCTCGATGGCGCATAACAAGATCAAACGTAATACTTTATTGTGTTGGATGGAATACGGTCCAACATTACAATTAAGATCAAATGCAGAAGAAGAAGGACATTACACACCCACCCGGGGAGGGTTATTTCAGGTCTTTTGTGATGTCTAAAAGTAAAACTTTTAAACATTTTATGGACGAGCCCTTTATCCAAACAATAGTTTGATTCGAAGTTGACTTCAACACAGCTATACCCATGTTATCAAATGATCTACAAATCCAAATACCAAATAATGTTGCCAAACAAAAACAACCCACTATGCTCTTGTTTTGTTTTCGTCAATACCTGTCTTTGTTTTGTTTTCGCCAATACCTGTCTTTGTTTTGTTTTCGCCAATACCTGTCTTTGTTTTGTTTTCGCCAATACCTGTCTTTGTTTTGTTTTCGTCAATACCTGTCTTTGTTTGGTTTTCGCCAATACCTGTCTTTGTTTTGTTTTAGCCAATACCTGTCTTTGTTTTGTTTTCGCCAATACCTGTCTTTGTTTTGTTTTCGCCAATACCTGTCTTTGCTTTGTTTTCGCCAATACCTGTCTTTGTTTTGTTTTCGTCAATACCTGTCTTTGTTTTGTTTTAGCTAATACCTGTCTTTGTTTTGTTTCAGACAGCACATGGCCCGTGGATCCCTGGCCACCTTACTCTATCGGCGTGTGCCCACCACCCAGAGAATGTACTCCATGCGGCCCTGGGCCATGGGCCAACCCACAACTACGTCGGTTTTTCTATATGGACTGTCAATAATCTACTAGTCAATAGATGCTTGCGATTCAACATACAACATATACTTTTTCTCAATGTTTTTAGTTTAATAGCAATACCATATTGGTTGATGATCATAGATAATAATATTTTCTTTGACTTTGGCTCGTAAAAAATACTTAACATCATGCTGGTTGAGTCAGTCATGTTATCCCAGCTAAATTTTTTGAGAAATTAAAATGTGATTGCTCTTAATAATATCACCGATGTTGTTTCCTTTATTCATCATCTTTTTTACTTGTGTGCCAAATAGGGTGTTTCTTTTATTGGGGTTTAAATATCTAACAATTTTGAAAGTGACAGGATCAAATAAATGTGAAAGTTGCACTGTCTGAGCTCAATGACTGTTGGAATAATAACTGTGGTCAATGTAACACCCTCTAAGCGGGGTGGGATGATGAATATGTGAATAATGGTGAAAACTTTACTGTTGTATTAGGACGAAGCCAGGTTTTGAGAATTTTTAAAATAGCCTCAACTTAAATTTATTATCTACATATAGACCCATTCTTCTTTTTATGCTAGCTGGAGTTTCAGCTGAATACGAGTGCCTTTTTTCTAAATATCATCTCAGGGGGTCGCCGCTCCCGCAGCACCCCTACTGCCAACGCCTCTAATGTTGTGTTATAAAGGCAGCGTACTATATATGATCGACTGAGTGAAGAATATTTTTCGAAAACAAAGTACTTCAAACATTATTTCTCTATTTCATACACGACTAAAGTTTTTGTATTGAACAGAAAAAAATATAGTCTGATCATTTCAAGGGAGGTAACTAAAACTATTTATTTAAAATTAAGAAAACGCAGTTGTCTACCCTAAAATCTAAATTCGACTATAAATGCCATTCTCAATTACTAAACGGAGTGGTCTAGCGGTAGATAGCTGGACTGCTAACCCGTAAGTCTCGAGTTCGAATCTGGGTTCAAGTCAGTAGACCGTCCCTGAGTCCATCCAATTCTGATGGGTACCTAACTCACGTTAGGGAAAGTAAAGGCGGCTTGGCAAAGTGCTGACCACACTATCTCTTCATATGCCAAGGCTTGAAAAGGGAACTTTACTTTTACAATTACTAAAATCTTTGTTGGTATTGGCCTACACATATATCCTTGTCGTCTCTTTGCGAATAATTGGCGCACAGAAGTCAATTTTTAAGTAAAGACAAAGGGTGTAGAAGTTGTTGAAGTTTTTTTGTAAAGACGCTAAAGTGTAAAGTGTATATCTGAGATTGTAAAGTATAAAATGTGTGTTAAACTGTGACCAGAAAAATTGGAGAAAGCAAAGCCGTTTTTAAATAATTCCAATACGTAGGTTTCATTTGCTTTTTTTATTCCTAATTTCTCAATCAATTATCGGGTAACGTTTTCTTCTTGTAACAATCCTTCTGAGACGAGGTTGAGGTGCAGGAAAATGGGGGCCCTTAGCCGTAGCTTGTTCAACTTATTGGTTTATCTGAGACTTCGTAGACACCTTCGTAAAAATCAACACAATGACATTTTTCAGCTCATGACTATAATCTTCATTCAGGGGAGGTAAATACCATCTGCTAGGGGAGGCAACACACAATCACATACTGCGAGGTTGAATGTAATCTCTAAACAAATACAGAATGCCTTCAAGCTGTGCTTATGGCTTATATACAATTGATTTTGTCGCTGTGTCTTAACTACGAATTAACTATTAAGTAGCCTTCACATAAGATTGAAATCATTTGCTTCAGTAATAACTTGCTTAAAATCATTTACAAAATGGCGTCACAAGGCAGGGGCGAGTTGGGGCGGTTCGTACCGGGTAACATCATTCAAGCGAATGACACCATTTAAGGGGTGACAACAAAACGAAATATAGTAGTTTTCTTTTTTCCAGTTTAATTTGTACAGCTATATAGGCCTATATCACTAAACACCGGTTGAAACTACCCAGGTTGAGGAAGATACTTATTTACCTGTAATTTTTGCTGATTATATATTTTGTCCTTGTCGTAGTTGGGGGGGGGGGGGGGCGATGTGGGTTACCCCATCGGTGACACACGACCTCTTGACGCCACTGCCAAATTTCTAGTTTAAGTTGGTCGATTGGGAAGGACATCATGAACATATTTTAATGTTTTTTTTTAAAACTAAATGCAGCATGAATTGTATATCTCAGGACAAAGAGAGAAGTATAATAATAAAATAATGTTCCCTTACGCGCATTAGATTTCTTATCAGCTGTGAAGCTCCCTTTAAAGGGACATAATACGTCCCCGCCTGCCACAAAGACAAATTCCAGCGTTTTGTTCTAATGCAGTCGACCGTGTCTGGATCTGATTGAATCAACTGATCAGCTTTGTCGGGGTTATGGTCTATCTTTTTCAGGCTACATACAGACACATACAGACACATACATAAACACACCCGCAATCTGATTGAATCAACTGATCAGCTTTGTCGCCGCGGTATTGTGATCTGTCTCTTCAGTCTACATACATATTAACACACCCACCGACCTACAGACACACAAACACCGAGAAATGGTGGCAGAGAACTGATCATGTGACAAGTATTGGAACTTCGACAGATATTCCAGAATAAATTATAAAAGTTGTGTGCCTTAAAATACTCGACAAGATCATCTTTCTTTTTCTCTGAGTAAGTTTAACATAAATGGTATTTAAAACCCTTAAGACCTGACTAATATTATTTTTTTTTTAATTTTAAATTTTGAAACTTTTTTTTATTGAAAACGATTTATCAAAAATTATTTCATTTGTACAGGTGTATTGAATTCCATCCAAAATGACTAGATATAGTATTCGGAATAATGTAACTTTTAAGCTATTACAATTTCGTTTCGTGTTTTGTGTTTTAACTGTTTAGGTTTTTCTGACCGTCATGTCACAGAGAAGGAGAGAATGGAACGGTGAGAAACGGAGAAAACTATCAGCTTCCAGAATATTCAAACTCGGTAAAAGATTTTTAAAATTCTAGATTTTGGGCTTAACTGCAATGTCTGGGTTTTTCCCCATAAACCAAAGTTGTGTTTGTCTACAAGGGGGGGGGGGGGGTCATGTGTCTGCCTAAATAGTGGGGGTCCTGTGTCTGCCTACAGGGGGGTCCTGTGTCTGCCTACGGGGGGGGGGTCCTGTGTCTGCCTAAATAGTGGGGGTCCTCTGCCTACATAGTGGGGGTCCTGTGTCTGCCTACATAGTGGGGGTCCTGTGTCTGCCTACATAGTGGGGGTCCTGTGTCTGCCTACATAGTGGGGTCCTGTGTCTGCCTACATAGTGGGGGTCCTGTGTCTGCCTACATAGTGGGGTCCTGTGTCTGCCTACATAGTGGGGGTCCTGTGTCTGTCTACATAGTGGGGGTCCTGTGTCTGCCTACATAGTGGGGTCCTGTGTCTGCCTACATAGTGGGGTCCTGTGTCTGCCTACATAGTGGGGTCCTGTGGATGGATACATAGTGGGGGTCCTGTGTCTGTCTACATAGTGGGGTCCTGTGGATGGATACATAGTGTGGGTCCTGTGTCTGTCTACATAGTGGGGTCCTGTGTCTGCCTACATAGTGGGGGTCCTGTGGATGGATACATAGTGGGGGTCCTGTGTCTGCCTACATAGTGGGGTCCAGTGGATGGATACATAGTGGGGGTCCTGTGTCTGCCTACATAGTGGGGTCCTGTGGATGGATACATAGTGGGGGTCCTGTGTCTGTCTACATAGTGGGGTCCTGTGGATGGATACATAGTGGGGGTCCTGTGTCTGCCTACATAGTGGGGTCCAGTGGATGGATACATAGTGGGGGTCCTGTGTCTGCCTAGTGGGGGTCCTCTGTCTACATAGTGGGGGTACTGTGCGTACATAGCGGGAGTCCTATGTCTGACTACAGCGTGGGTCATGTGTTTGCCTACATAGTGGGGGTTCTAATCACCCGCCCCAGTCTAATTATCACATGTAACATCGACCTGGGAAGCCTATCCAAAATGTCGCACTTAGGTAAAAATTAACTCATATAACCATCCCTTATTGAAACATAAAATAAACATCATTAACACATCTATAAACACATCTATAAATAATACCATCACTAGGTGGGGTAAAGTGGGGGCAAACCGATGTTTAGTTATTTTGACATCCCAACGCCCCCCCCCCCCCCCCACCCCTTCCATTGCCCTTATTCAGACAGTTTAATATAAAACTTTTCATCGAGCATTTTGACGTTATGGTTTTACATGGAGCTGGGTCTCTTCTAAACATAGTCAAGCTATTTTTAGTAGACTGTCTGCACCTCCCTGTCCCACCCCGTTCATCTTGAGCTCACCCATACCACAGGTCGTTTCAATATTACGTCACATCCGCTCTCCTGTCTTCACTAAAGCATCCTTATCCAGTGATCTTCATAATTAGTCAACCTTGTTAAAATCGATGATGAATTTCTAAATATTATTTCTAAAATATTAAACTTTTGACCTGTTAGTAATAGATTTTAGTTTTGACTCCTTGTATTCAACATGCGTATTACTTTAATTTGACCAAAGATTTAATTTTCAATATACAACAGTGAATTTTTTATTTTTTTTTATTTTCTCAGAGGCTGCGTTGAACCCTGGTTTGGCGGAGAAATTAAAAACTTTTTCAGCCCAGCCTAAGCCTGTAGCAGTGACCACCGGAACCACGCCCCGGATCCACCCTGTGCCCAGACTATCCCGGCAGCAAGCAGTTCTTAGAGCGGAAGCCTTGAACAAATTTAAATGGAAGCTTCCAAAAATAGATTCCAAACAAAACGAGGCTAAAAAACGAATCACCGATGTCTTTTTGTCTGTTTTGAATTTAAACAAAGACGCACGCAGCAGTACGCTTGTGCCTACATCAAAATCACTCACATTTCCGTTAAACAGTCTCGGTGAACCATTTCTTAGACGACCAACGACGCATGCGCCAACTCCTGTCCAGCAAAACGGAGATTTATTTACCCTCATCTTAAAAGGGAAAGAACTCAAACCATTCGCATTCAAGGGAGATCAACTAAAAGCCATTCAGTTCTACGCCTCGCATTACCCTCTACTTCTCCGCAAACTTTTTGACGGGTACGGGTCCTTACCAGGTTCTGCTAAAGCTATTACCGGAAATGACGTCATTGACGCGCTGAGAATGACAAGTGCCGAGAGGCGGTGCCAAGAAATCAACGCTTGGATCGTCAGGCTGGATGAGTGTCTGCGGTGGTTTGAGATCGATCCTGAGGATGCTGGTGCCATTGAAACTGTTCTAAGATCGGAATCTTTCACGCCCAATACCTGGGAGTGGAACATCCAAAAATATCATTTACCAGAACTGAACTAAGTCACGCTTTTTTGACGATTTTTACCTCCCCCCTCCCCTTCGTCACACGTCGTCACAGAAAGCCAGCCCCCCCCCCCCTTAAAATGACGTCACACTACGCATAACCCCCCCCCCCCCTCAAAATTGCAGTTGCATTTTTTTAAACATAAATATTTTTCTAAAATCTTGTCTGAATCCTGTCGAAATAGAGTATTTTAATTAATTCCTATTACAATTTATTAAAAGTTTTCTAAAACGCGAAATAATATCTAAAATTCGTTTTCTAACATTGCTTTTTTATAATGCAAAAGTGCGACGTCGCACCATCATACACCGTCACAAAGTTACGGAACCTCCCCTCCCCCCTACGAGTGTGACGTCATTTATGGACGACCCCTAAACCCCGACCGGCCTAATTTGACTGTCCTACATATAAATTTTTTAATATGATTGTTATTATGTGGCAGACTAAAGTTAAGGAAACGACAATAAACTGTCTAATCTGATATTAAGGTATGTTGTCTATAATAAACAACAAGTATCAGGATTAAATGAATTGACATGCCATTGGTAAACAGGTATACAAGATGATAATGTTAGGTTTGTTTAGATTTGTTCCCCACTATTTTTGACGTTTATTTTGGTTGTGAGAAAAAAATAAAAAAGTCGTTTGTAAGCTTTTTATTTAATTCATATGACTGTTTTATTGGTTTTTTTGTTTATTTGTTTGTGGCTTTGTGGAAAATCTTGAACCTCACTTGAAACCCACAAGTAATCAGTGTTTCTTCCAGGCTTTTTTCTCAGGGGGGGGGGGGGGCACTTGAAATTTTTTTTTTGGGGGGGGGGGGGGGGGTGGGTGGGGGGTAGACCTTCTTCGGGGGCGGACGGCGGACACGGTTAAAAGTGTATATTTTCTATATAAATTTCATTTCGTTCGGGTGGAGTGGCGGCAGTGGCGTAGCGAGGTCGGGTGTCACCCGGTGCGGCACTTAATGGTGTCACCCCCCCCCCCCCCAGAGGCATAGAGACCCTTCACAGGGACAAACTTTCAAATTTTCGATTTGCACCCCCCCCCCTCAAACTTTCGATTTGCACCCCCCCCCCCTCGAGTTTTCGATTTGCACCCCCACCCTCAAACTTTCGATTTGCACTCCCCCTCGAGTTTTTCTCTATATATTTTGCTATTTTTTGCCTTGGTGTCACCCCCCTAAATGGTGTCACCCGGTGCGGTCCGCACCCCCCGCCCCCCCCCCCTCGCTACGCCCCTGAGTGGCGGTAGACTTTTTTCGGGGGTGGGGGTGGGGCGAAGATGTCTGGAAGAAACTCTGCAAGTAATGCAGATATTTCGTTAATTCAAACTTGCCAGACACATAATCAGGACTGCGTAAGAATTTTATTTTTATTATACATTAGATTAGTCATTACAATTTAATTAAAACATTGAAGAAAAAAGTCTGAAAGAAATACTGCACAAACAGCAGCCCACAACTGAGGAGAGTTGATCACTGCTGCATGGTTTCTAGCATGAGATTCGTCTACGGACTGTGAAGGGGCAGATATTTGTATTTTCTTTTAGAGATTGCAAGCTATTGGTGAGGTTTTAATTTAAAGCAGATATTTTTAATCGTAGGTGGTGTCGACTTTATTTTTAAAAAAAATTACAAAAAATAGTAGAAAATAAAAACAACTGTGAAAACATTTATAAGAAGTTTTTATATAAAATGAAAATTACATATAATGAAAATTAAATATGACAAAACAAACTTGCAATAGTGTGTCGTCACACGTTTTACCTCCCCCACCCTCCTTTCCCCACAACGTCACCATTGTCGATCATTTTAAAATCCAATGATAACTATTTTCGAAGATCAATTTTCATCATGACCGAATACGCACTTTGACTAGATTCGTGAATTGCTACAGTTTCCCAATGTATGGAGCTAAACTAATGTATAGATTCTAATACCCACAAGAAATAAAAAGGGAGGGACAACGGACAAGGCGACCAGGATTATATAGAAAATCTTGATCTCACTGTTTAGCAATTTGTAAGTATTTTTATCTGGCAAGTCTCACCGGCTCGTTTTGTTGACAATACCAACCAAAACTTTTACTTAATGTACTTAATAAGTCATTAAGTAGATCTACTTATCTAACTGTACTGTGTATAAAGTTTACATTGTGCTGAAATATTTATAACATGCACACTATTTTCTAAAACATGCATCATGGACCTAAAGACAATTTATTTAACGCTACTTGTTTTCAATCAATTGTTTTATCTTCTTAATGCCCATGTCAGCAGTGGCGAAGATTATGATTCCAGCTTTAGCAGCGATAAAAACTTAAAGCTTGTTGTTGATTCAGCCAAATCACCAAGGTGATTAGATCTAGTCTATTAGAAGATCCTAGAATCTAACAATATTTAATAAATAATTAAGTAGAGTATATTTTACTATACAATGTCATATCCAGTTATTTTTTGTTTTGCTGCCAGTGGCAGTATGTCATACTCCCATTATTACATCATTCATTTATGATTTTATATAATATATATATATAATATATTATCATAATCATGACATTATGTTTTGTTTGCTTATGTATGTCTATTTTACAATGTTGTAACTAGTATTACTAGTAAAGGTTGTGATAGGGCTCAGACAGGGATTGGCAAACTAGAGACTTAGAGTAAAATAAAATTATAAAAATAACAAAGAAGGAATATTAGAATTCATTAGATAGTTTTAAATGAAATAATTATTGATAATTCTATTAGAACTTAAATAAGGGATAGTTAGTGTGGTCTGCAATATGCAAAGCTGCATTTACAGGCAAACTTAAGACTTTTAGGTAGGTTAGTGATTGTGTGCGCTACCACTTTGCTACAGCACCATGTCATATCAGTTGTTATATGAGGTAGGCCCAATATGATAAGTACAATGAACAATGATAATTAGCAATCAGAAAGAAAAGAACTTAAGGATAAAATTTCATTGTTCATCTCAATTGGCTTTGCAGCTGTTAAGGGGATATGCTATGTTTTTTTCTATTTTTTACAGTTTAAGATCTAAAGCCTTTTGAATACTTTAATCATATTTGGCATATAAAAGTAAGTATTGAACAGCAAAAAAAAAAGGTCGAAAACAATTTTGGTTGTCATGGAAACCAAAAAACCTCCGCCATTTTGAATTTTTCGGTACTTTTAAAAATGCTAAGGCTTTTTTATTTATGCATCTATAGCAATCAAATTTAAACTGCTTATATTTCAGTATATATTAAAACTTTTGTCACGACAACTTTTTGAAATAATTACTAGTAAGAATTTTACAAGGTCTAAAATATCGTACCCTTATTAGTATTCAAAAGCTTCAAAATGTGCATATTAATTACCGAATACTTTTTTTCTATGAAAGCAATCACAATTCCCTCGTGACAAAAGTTGTATTTTTGCATCAAGAACGTTTACTGAAAATATGGTTGGTATTGTTTAATAAATAAAAAAGTAGTAGGCTTTTTAGTGTTAAATACCTGCGAACTGAGAAAAACCGCAAAAAGTAACGAAAACTAGGTCAGGAAAGTACCATATCTGCGTAAACTGCAAAGCCGATTGTAAGCTTTGGGTGTTTCCGAGATGTAGGAAATTAAGTTTATTAAATACACGAGGAATCCAGCTTTCCAATGATGTCAAATACAATATAATGACGGATATAAAACTTTTCATAGAGAGCTTGTAAGATTGGGAAAAATTGATAATTTTTTATTAATAGGGTCATAAAAATCGTAATTCAAACACATAAAATATTTTTTTTTCTTTAAAGTTATTATTTTCTATATACAAAAATGGACAAAGTATCCAAAAGTGCAAGAAACCCATCATGACAAAAAACAAGAAATTTTGTGATTTTTTTCCGCGCATATCCCCTTAAGTCTCCAAAAATCTCACATTTTTCATATAAATCAAAAAGACAAATTTTAAGTTTATATTTTACTGCATGTTTCAGATATCTCTTATATGAGGTTAATCCTGGTGAGGGATTTAATCTGCGCAGAGATGTGTACATGAGAGTGGCTGTGCTTGTGAAAGCTCTCAACGAGGTTTCTCCATGGATTCTGGTCTTGCCACCATGGAGTCATATTTACCATTGGAAATCACGGGATATCGGCTCACAGGAAAAAATGCCTTGGTCAACTTTCTTTGACATAGCAAGTTTAAGAAGATTTGTGCCTGTGATGGAATTTGATGAATTTTTAAAAAGTTTGTTCATCTTCGTGTTGTAAACCTTTTGATTAAAAAGCATTTTAAAAAAAATGCATACTTAATATTATTATGTTTTTTTTATCGTTGTGTATCAGTCAGCAAAGAACCAATAATTGATGAGCTTTACTATCTTCAACACTATAAAGAAGGCTGGGAGACATGGGAAGAAAAGATGGATAAAAGACCTTGTATCAACAACCCTTATTTTTTAGTAAGTAGAATTGGAAGTGATAGTTATCTACCTTTAATGTATTATGTATTTAAATCTTGAAAGACACACACGTTATTAGTAATATAATATATTGAATAAAATTTGTATAGTATAATGTTATAGTAAGTTAAATTATGTATAATACATATTTTATTTTTTCGCTTCTTAAACTTGTGCGATTTTGTCAGGATGAAGCAAGCAAGCTGTGGCATGGATGGTTCTTTGGTTATGACGAGAAAGTGGCAGCCCGCACATTAGAATGTGTCTCTGTTATGGGCCATGCCACTTACCTCAAGCCTTTTCTCTTATACAACACCACAGGGAGGTTGGTACTTACAATTGCTAAATGAAACTAAAATTCTTCTTTTTAAAGTAGTTGGTAAATGCTACTGAAAATTTTAATGTGATATTTCTTAATTTTATAATTTTGTATATGTTTAGTTACTTAAGATTTAAATGGTACTTTTGTATTATAAAATAAATTGTGTAAACTTGTGTACAGATTTTTAAAAATTTTCATTGCCTCCTCTGCCCATGTGTCAGAACTCAATACTTTTTGGAGTTAGCGACTCCTGTCCGACCATGCTATTTCCTTAATTTATTTTAATTTATAACTGTTCTACTTTGAAACGGGTTGTTTCCCTAAGTACAATAATAAATGCCAACTTGTCAGAGTTAAAGTTTTTTTTTAATGATAGGTAAAACAATTTTATTTTTACAAACTAACTTCCAACTCGAATGTTTTATTTTCAGATCTGTGATGATTGATAGAGCAGAGACTGTTTTACATGACAGATATGGGGATGCCCTCTTTTGGCAGGTAGTATTAGCTAAACATTTAACCATTTAGATTGTTCTGCTGTTTTAGAAAGAAAACAATTGGCTTCTGACCAAATAACCAATAAAGGGCCAAGAACTGCCAAATGTGTTTGAACAATATAATTTATTTAAGTCAGTATTCTGTTTTTCTCTATGTAGTTCTTTAACTGTGTTTATTCTGAATAAAATTAATGTGAAATAACTAAGAGTTCATATTGATAATAATTTGAGTAAATTTTTGTGGAAAGTTAAGGAGTTGCACAGTAAACTTTGTATACTCTAAATCAGGGGTCTCCAAACTACGGCCCGCGGGCCGAATGCGGCCCGTGAAGTCCTCTCATCCGGCCCGCGGAGATCTTTTTGTCTAAGGAAAAATCGTTTGTTGGTGATGGCTGAGGAACTTTGCCCAGAAAAATTAAAGACATGCCTGGAAGAAACTGGCCCCCGAACTGAAATTTGATAGTTAATGCGGCCCTCGGACTGAAAAGTTTGGAGACCCCTGCTCTAAATTAAGCTGTATTTATTTTAATTGGTATTATTTAAATTTTTATAAAGCACATAGGTATGCCATAACTTTAAAACGATAACCGTGAGCATATTATCATCAACAGCGTGTAGCTGTCATCATCTTGTGATGGTATCAAATGTTTAATAACAATTTACATTATAATTTTTACAAATCTGCTTTAGTAAGTCAAAATGTGTTTTTTTCCTAAATAAAAGGTGAGACGAAGCATGAGGTTCTCAAAGCACTTGAGGGATATTGGTGATGTGTTTAGGATGGATTATCTTAACTCAACAGATGAGCAGGATCTGACCAGGCTGGAAGAAAACTGGATGGACATGAAGGTGAAAATTTATTGTTGTTTGATCTAGTCTTTTTTGTGAAGTAAAATTCCTTTTTTTAACAGTGCATTGTATAGCCTTTCTTATTACATTAGTACTTGTACAAAATTTTAAGTGCTTTAACATATTATATGATTGCTGAGTGCTTGAATCAGAATGATATAATTTCTATGTGAATTTTATCATTGCTCAGTGAATTATATCATTGTTCGGTAAATTATGTCATTACTGTAATTAGGACTATATTATTGCCATATGAATTACATCGTTGTTAGATATTAAAATCAGACTGCATTTGGCTTTTTTAAAAAGTTTTTCTAGGAAAACATTTCCACACAAACAAATAGTTACTCTTTTGATGGTGAGATCTGAAACAGTGGGACTGCTGAAATAATACACATATATTAGATAATTTAAATTAAATAGCAGTATTTTATTTTTAAGTCTTTATTTTTTGACATGATGAATTGAATAAAGAATAATGAATTGAATAAAGAATAAATATTGATGTTCTGAACCTAAATGGAATATATTGTTTACTGATTGCTTTAGAGCTCATTTAAGTTAATCCTCAGTTTTATGTAAAGTTAATTTTAAACTTTCAAAATAAATAAATATTGAGAAAAAACTCGTATTTAAAAAAAAATGTATGCTGAAGATAATCTACAATTTTAGTAATCATTGTTCTGAACACATTTCCCAACAGAGAAAACACGGTGATGCAATTGGTGGTCCATATCTGGCAGTTCACCTGCGTAGAGCTGACTTTGTCCTGGTACGAGAGAAGGATGTCCCCTCACTAAAACACGCAGCCACGCAGATCATAAAGCTGTTGAACGATCTGGCTCTGAGCAAAGTCTTTATAGCCACAGACGCACCTGTACAAGGTGAACTTTTTGGCTTTTTTAATACCCACACACCCCCCACACACACACACACACCTCATTCAATTCTTCAATACCTCTCTTGTTAATTCTGATAAAATGAAGTGATAATGATTTGAATCTTCCTTTGTAGCTCACTTAGATTTAAATTTGTTTTGAAAAGATAGCTTCTTCTTTTTTGTTAAACTTGAATAGAATTAAAATAACCTGCAATAGCTTTGATAAGGTTTAATGTAGTGCCTTTTATTCTGTATATTTTTTAAATAGAGTATAACGAGCTGAAAGGTTACTTAAAAGATTACCAAGTGTATCGTTACCAGCCTTCTATGGAGAACAGGTTGAAGTACAAAGATGGGGGAGCAGCCATTGTTGACCAGTGGATTTGTGCCCATGCTAGGTAACCTGAGGGTTCAAATCCTCTTAACTAGTCTGGTTTTTCTCCTAGTAGGGGGAGCTTAGGACTTTCTTTATCCCATAATGTAATGAGTAAAGTGATCTAATTAATTAGTACTAAAGCTATCCCCATGTATATTATCCAGTGAAGAAAATATATTTTCTTTCTATTTATAAAAGCACCACAATGAGATTTCATTTATTTTTAGAGCCAGACAGTGAGATTATCAAAGTGTGCCTTTCTTAAATACATACAGCTAGCTAAATGAGAAATGGATTGATATCCAACTAGGCCCATTTGTAATGGGGGACTTTAACACCGTTTGTTATATTATCATTTTCTGTTGTGAGGTATATCAAGTTTGTTACATAATAAATAACATCTGTGTCCTTGCAGATATTTTATTGGAACAAAAGAGTCGACATTTTCATTTAGAATTCAGGACGAAAGAGAAATTCTGGGCTTCAAACCAGAGACAACGTTCAATCGTCTCTGTCACGAGAATGACAAAGTTTGTGAACAGCCATCTAAATGGATGATTCAATACCCTTGACCCTCCCCCTATCACCCCTTTCCCATCAATAATTTAATACTCATAACCTCTACCCTTTTCCCATCCAAATAAATGATTCAACCCCCCCCCCCCCAACCCCATCCAAATAATTCAGTACCTAAAACAATCCCGTCCCTTCCCCATCCAAATGAAAGTTTCACTACCCATGACCCCCATATAAAAACTTTAGAATCTCTTTGAGAATTTAATTTAGTTTTTCCCGTTTACTGTACCAATGTCTTAATTTGTACAGAAATTTTATAATGTTAGCAAACAGTTACATTTTTAAACAATGTGTAGGTTTATGTAATTGCTGTATCTGTTCATGTCATTGTTTCTTTACTGTTGTGATGTTACAAGCAAGTGCAATTAAATTAGGAGCATATTCCTGTTGTCCTTACTTTATATATTTGAGACTCTACAGCTATGATAACAATATAACATAACATTATAACATTTATTATGATAACATTATTAATATGTACTTTATTTTTTTAAATGAAGATTGACTTTAAAACTGGAATAAAGTATTATATTTGTAACCTATCTTCTGTATATCCAAAACTGTTCTACTAGATGTTTAGTAGTGAAAGGATGTGTCCATTTTGTGACATTAGGATGTTCGTGTACATTTTGTGATGTGTAAACCTTCTCTCATCAGGATGTCTGTTTACATTTTGTAACATCAGGATGTTTGTTTACATTTTGTAACATCGGGATGTTTATTTATATTTTGTAACATCAGGATGTGTAAACCTATCTCTCATCAGGATGCCTATTTACATTTTGTAACATCAGGATGTCTGTTTACATTTTGTAACATCTGGATGTTTATTTACATGTTGTAACATCAAGATGTAACAAGGCTCTTGGTCATCACCAACACCACATAGCACAGTATATTAAAGTGTTGAACAAATGACCCACTCCACATTGTATTATACTTTATGTGGATGATCGCTAAACGTTTGTTATCCTGAATTTCTATTGCACCAATTACTATGTCTTTGTTTACTTTTCTTTATCATCTGCTGATTTGAAACAAAAAATATTTTTTTTTGTAAGAAATTACCAAGAAATCTATTTTGTTGTTTGACCAAAGTCTGATAGATTTTGCCTTGACCAAGGGAGTTAACTAAGGTGAGTTTTAAAAAATTTAATTATAAAGCTTCATCGAAACTTGATAGCATGTATAACATGTATGTATTTTTTTTTGCAGAAATTCTTAATAGAAAAAACTCAATAAATTCAATTATCATTGTATTTTTGGGATTTATTTTTTTTGTGTAAACTAAAACTGATAATTGGAAAATCCAATTTTGTAAGATTGTAAAAAAATAATTTCAAATTTCTCAATATTCCATGATAAGTGACATTAGGGCAAATTACATAATTGGCGTGAATTAACTGATTCCAAAAATTATCATATTTTAAAAAGCGAACAAAAATTATTTCCCTTTAGTTTATACTTGAATTGTGAAAGGGCCAGAGTTATTTTATTTTTAGATTGAACCACATGATTAAAGAATTAATAAACTAATTTGTTTTTTGTGTGAGTTTTTTAAAACAATTAGAGAAAGACAAAAAAAAATAATTCTTCCAGTTAAATTTTTAAAAATTGCATTGAATAGAAAGTATATTCGTTTGTGCTTGTAAAGATATGAGACAAGACAGTTTTTTATTGAAGATTTTTATCCTTGTCATTAGTGTCAATTGTTTTGCTACATCTAATTTACCATTTTATTAAGTATCTGCAGACAAACATCTCCCCCTCCCCCCATTATGAAAAAATATTTTAAAAATAAAAACTTATAAAAATTAGTGCTCATGACCATATAGTTTAGACAACTTAAAACATATTAGCAAATCCTTTAGCATATTGGAGGAATTTCTTTTCGATATTAGAATTAAGAACCAAGAAGAAGAACCGACTCTTTATAAAACTTCTTGTTTACATCATTGTATTTTAATTTTTCTCAATAAAATTCTTAACATTGACAGTAGTAAAAATGATTTTAAAAACAAACTTTACATGTTTGGCAAAAAGAGATTTTTATAACTAGACTTAGAATGAGAGATAAAATATACATCCAACAAGTTTTAATTCCACCTGTACTGCCCTGTGTTTATAGAGTTGGCGAATGTCACATTTTCTCGTTTAATATCATACTCTGCTGGGATCACAATGAGGAGGAAGACGTATGCAAGGACAGTGGCTACAAAAGACAACAGAAACAAACACCTATCCACAACTTTAGCTATGGTACACCACTCGGCGATCATTATCCGAGCTCTTTTTAAAACAATACGGGGGTTTTCTTTATGTGTATCTTCCCGCTTTTGTTCGTAGGCGTATTGTCTTTTGCGTGGGTGACGAGCAGGGCTGGTGTTCCTGGAAGAAAGAATGGGGTTTAGGTTTGTTTTAGGGGACTGATTGATGATCTTTTCCAGTGGGTCGTCTTTGTGTTGACATTTGCACGCTGTCTGCGTTGTGTGTTCCTGGTCTGGAATAAAGTCTTCTCGTAAAACCCAGACATCCTCTTCGTCTGTCTCACAACTGTCTGTTGATTGGTTGAAGTGAGCTGCATGCTGGGGCATGCTGTGGTCGCTCATTGTTTTGAAAAAGCTGTCTGCATGTAATGAAGACTGAGAGGATGGCGTCTGAAGATCAGAGGTGAAGGATTTATTCTGCGACATGTCTGTAAGTAAAAGGTCGTTGGCAGTGGATGACCCTAGACTGTACGCATCTAAAGCCGTTTCCTGTTGATCGCAGTCTCCGCTGCAGAAGGTCAGCATGGAGCTGGGATCTTGTGGGCTGGATTGTGTGTACAGTCTAGGGGCCGGTGAATTTGGCACCTTCTTTAGCAGAGGTGAACTAGACTGGGGGTCGTTGACCTCAATGTTTTCATCCTCCTCCGGGGTTGACTCGTGTAACACACCCCGTCTGTTGTGGTACAGCAGACGTGAGTCTCGGAGATTCTGTGTGTATGAGTACGGACGCAAGTTTCTGGTTGTGCTTTGATGATACGCAGGATAACGTACAGAGTCGTTTGGTTGATGGGGTGTGCTGGTGTCCTCATCACCCTCACTGCTGCCACTTACTGTGCACCTACTGTCGTGTAGGATGAAGTATTTACAATAGTCCGACTGAAAAAAGACAACAAATTTGACATCAAGTTTTAATAAATAATTTAAAGTATTACATACAAAAAAATGAAAGTTTTGTGAAGATTCCAGTATAATGAAACCCATGTAAGTATAGTAAATAGTTGTAACTATTTATTAGGATCATTACTTTAAAATTAAAGACTTAGTGCTAAAGGTACATAACTCTTGATTAAACTTTATTGTGTTAACAGTTATAGAAATTAGAATATTTAATGTATATGATTGTTTGAAAGAGGAACTAAAAAATTTCAGCATCAAGATCAGTACTTCAGTTTAAGTCTAACTGGAGAAGTAGTGATTAACTCTTTAATTTGATTTGATATACATGAGACTTTAATTTTATAGCCAATAATAACTCTTTCTATACAACTACAAAAGTTCTTTTAGCCTAGTACTGGAGTTGGCAGTTCTTTGAGTGAATATGACTCTAAAAAACAGTGGGGAAAATAATATAGGCCTACATATAATAAACATGAAAAGAATGGTTTTACACCTTAGGGTAATTTAGGATAATTTTAGTCTCAAAGCTTTATTTATTTATTGTAATACGCTGAAACCATTTTACCTTAGACTTAAAGCATCCAATTTTCCAGAAATTTTCTATTTCAGCAACCATGTATGGATTTTTATGCTTTTCTTTTCTATTTATTTTAAAAGGACCAAATATCAATTTTGAGCAAGAGAGTTCTCTCTTTCTAAAAGTGCCAAATATCGTCAGTTCTAAGGGGTGGGTCTATTTCAAATAATGTAGATAATCTTTGAAACCAATTACCAAAATGGGTGCATTAATATTAATAAATAAATAAAAAATGAATAGTAACTTCAAACTTGTAGCCTCAGTTGGATTAGATTTTTAAGACCTATCTTAAAAACTTCATATACTAAAAATCACAGATAACATTAGGCCTACTTGTGTTGTAACTTGTTGTTTGAAAAAAAAATATCAGAATTCTTATTGTGAGGGTCCCTAAATATTGTTTAGCAAAGGAATTTTGAGACAGCCATTTACTTAAAAGGCATCTGACCTTTGAACTAGATACAATGATAAAAGATGAATGTACCAGATAAATTGTTGTGGCAAGAAGCTGAATGTCCTGGCTGACTCTGAAAGGAAGGGCCAGGTACTTGATGCACAAGCTGGCTAGCCACCTGGGGGCAGGTCTCAGCTTTGACCCCCTGTTGTGTAGGTTGGTGACCAGCACGGCACAGATCACAGAGAGTGAGGTCATCGTCATGACAACACAGAGGTAGATGCCTGTGGTTGGGAGAAGTAAGATGTTTTTTTTTAGCAAGGGTGTGGAGGACAAAATGTGGTGATACAACAGGAAACAAGATTTAACACAGATGTGGTGGTGGATATGGGGAGACATGTAAAAAAAAATCTGATCACTGAGAAAAATTTCTTCTCTAATTCTTCAGTTCTAGGTTTACTATTTGACCGTGGCTGATTAGTATAATTGAAATAACAATCTATGTGTTTTCTAAGCTTAAAAAGCCCCCCCCCCCCCCCACCCCTCCCCCTCACCAACTTCCCTTCACACATTAAGCTTCTGTAGAATCAAAAAGCAAATTATAGTAATAATTGATTGCTGTACTCTTGAAATTTAATTAAAAAGATCAGAGGACAATCCAAATGAAATTTCGTTTCTGTCATAAATTATTTATTTTTTGCTACCAATTAAATGAGACATTTGTAACTTATTAATTAAAGGCAAAGCATTATTACCATTTGCAGATCACTTATTAAGTTTATATAAACATTTACATGTAATCAATTAAATGGATAAACAGTTAGGCCTATAGTTTAATTAAAAGGAACAGTTACATTTACAACCTTCCAATCAAAAGCACACTAACACTTGCAACCTACCAATCAAATGGAGTGAGATATTTATAACCTACCAATCAAATGGACTGAAACATTTGCGACCTACCAATCAAAGAGACTGAAACATTTGCAACCTACCAATCAAAGGGACTGAAACATTAGTGACCTACCAATTAAAGGGACTGAAACATTAGTGACCTACCAAACAAAGGGACTGAAACATTTGCGACCTACCAATCAAAGGGACTGAAACATTTGTGACCTACCAATCAAAGGGACTGAAACATTTGTGACCTACCAATCAAAGGGACTGAAACATTTGCGACCTACCAATCAAAGGGACTGAAACATTTGCAACCTACCAATCAAAGGGACTGAAACATTAGTGACCTACCAATCAAAGGGACTGAAACATTAGCGACATACCAATCAAAAGGACTGAAACATTAGTGACCTACCAAATCAAAGGGAGTGAAACATTTGCGACCTACCAATCAAAGGGACTGAAACATTTGCAACCTACCAATCAAAGGGACTGAAACATTTGCGACCTACCAATCAAAGGGACTGAAACATTTGCAACCTACCAATTAAAGGGACTGAAACATTTGTGACCTACCAATCAAAGAGACTGAAACATTTCCGACCTACCAAATCAAAGGGACTGAAACATTTGTGACCTACCAATCAAAGAGACTGAAACATTAGCGACATACCAATCAAAGGGACTGAAACATTTGCCACCTACCAATCAAAGGGACTGAAACATTTGTGACCTACCAATCAAAGGGACTGAAAAGTTTGCGACCTACCAATCAAAGGGACTGAAACATTTGCGACCTACCAATCAAAGGGACTGAAACATTTGCGACCTACCAATCAAAGGGACTGAAACATTTGCGACCTACCAATCAAAGGGACTGAAACATTTGTGACCTACCAATCAAAGGGACTGAAACATTTGCGACCTACCAATCAAAGGGACTGAAAAATTTGCAACCTACCAATCAAATGGACGGAGATTTTTACAACCCACCAATCAAAGGGACTGAAACATTTGCGACCTACCAATCAAAGGGACAGCATCAGAAGATGCAGGGACCTCCTCAGCTATCAGCAACATGAACATGGAGAAAGCCAGGAAGACAGAGAGACCCAGTGTGACCTTCTCTCCAGAGGTCGGAGACAGCCAAAAGGTCATGAGGGTCAACATGGATAGCATTACACAGGGCACGATGATGTTGAAGAGATAGTAAAAGGTGTTGCGCTTTAGGTAGAGAATGGCCTGTTGAAACGAAGAAATTAATGGTTGTTTTAATTAGAAACACTAATTTTTAATCCATGCACATTTGATCGACATAGTGAATAAAAAAAGATAATCGAAAGGTGTTGTCTTATTTTTCAAAGTCAGGGTTTCTTTCAGACATTTGCTTAGAGGTGGCATTTGAAACTTCCAGTGTGTGGGCAATTATAAGAATGGTTTTAAGAATACCCCCCCCCCCCCCACCTCCCCTTGTTGAGAGGGTGATTCGGTGAGTAAAGGGTTAATCTTTCATGATTCAGTGAAGGGTTAATGTATCACAGAGGCGTAGTGAGGGGGAGGGGGGGGGGGCAGGGCGTACATATGTACCTGAGCGCCGACCTTAGGGGGAGCCAAAATGGGTTTGAAAAACAAATTAAAATCTCATTTAGCTGCAGTTTTGCATTATAAATATAAAAAATATATCAGAGGGGGGGGGGGTGCAAATGGAAAGTTTGAGGTGGGGTGCAAATTGCATTGCAAGGTTGTTCCCGAGGGGCACCAAATTGAAAGTTTGTCCCGGGCGCCAGGGAGGGTCGCTACGCCTCTGATGTATCATGTCATTGTAGAGTGAATATTTCATACATCAGTAAAGTATTAATGCAAGTTACTGAAGGTGTTAATATATCACATCAATAAAGGGTTAATAAATTAAGTGTAAAAAAGACCTAATATAAAATGTCAAAGTAAGGTTAATGCATATATATATATATATATATATATATATATATATATATATATATATATATATATATATATATATATATAAAATATGTTAAAGAAGGATCAATGTATCATATAGGGTTTGGGATACAATAAATAGTATTGACAATAGCCAGTAAAGGGTTAAGCTATGTCCACCTTACTGTTATGTGTGGATGTAGACCAAGTCCCCTAGACCTGTTCGCTACACTCTTTTCTAACTTCATGGACAAGAGGTCCCACTCACTGTTTTTGATATAGGTTGATAGATCAACATTGACAACATCTTTACGCACACTGTAATCAACCAGCTTGTGACTGCAAATACAGAATTGATTGGTTGTTTGAATGACCAATCATATCAGTGAGCTCTTCTAAAAAACGTGGAGTGTTAGTTCGTTGTATTGTGATAGCAGTTAATTAAGGGTGTTAGGTATAGGACTGGGGTTAGGGTTTGGGATAGGATTAAATAGTATATGTTGTGTTTATAGAAACATGTGAATTCTACTTCACTTGCCCCATGGACCATAAGGTTAGAAAAAGGAATATTACACATTTAAATGGCAATTAGCAACCCAGCATCCTTTTTTGTAAAGAAGGTCCAATATGTGAAAAACAGCAATAGTTCATTATAAAAACTTTTTATTTTAGCAACAGGAAATTTTGTAAAGTATGAATGAGTTGCTATAGTTACCTGTAGATCCAAGACCCAAATCTAACCATACAAAACTGGTAATCAAATGGAAAATAAGTGATTTTCACAACACAAGAGCTCCTTAGTCTAACTGGGACAGGCCAGTTTACTTCTCCAGTGTGACGGATTTGGATGTAAGCTCCATGGATAAATCCAGTGGATCCATTGTCTGCACTGAAATAGAGAGGGGAGATTATCATTGTCACAGCTTGTAAAAAAAGTACATTTTTTTTATTATATAATGGTTTTGGATTGCCAATGTGATTAATTTGATTTATTGCAAACAAAATTTTAATAATTAAGATAACAACTAAAAAACTGCACATGTTTCATTAATCATAATGATAAACTTCAATAAACAATTAAACAGGTTTCTTTATGTCAATGTTATGACATCTAATTTCTAATCTTGACCCTCTATTCTTGAATACTAATGACCTACCCTGAAGAGGGACACAAACATTTTTTGCTGCATTCATCTGACAAGTCTTATACATAGTGAACTCTTGTGTATTAAAACAGGTAATGGTGTTACTCTTAAAGTCATTTGGTGCCTATTTGATTCAGTTATAGTCCCTAGCCCATCACAAGCGAGTCGTAGAGTATGGGCAGAGAAGCCACAAAAGCCAAACTGGCACTACTTCGGCAGGAGTGAGTGAATGAACGCATTAGGTCTATGTTTAATGGGGGGAGGGGGGGGGTGAGAGGGGACAATATTGACAAATTCCTGGTATTATTTCATTTTTTTTTGTCATGCTTAAATATATTGTCATGCTTTAATATATTATCATGGTTAAATATTTTGGATGTCATGGTTAAATAATTTGGATGTCAGTTGTTAAATATATTGGATGTTACATTAAATGTAATGTAATGAATGTCATGTTAAATGTATTGGATGTCATACTAAATGTTGAATGTACGTAACTAGTCTTAGTTGTAACCTTGAACCTTGCCCAGTGCTTATCCTAATCCTAACAGAATTAAAGCAGAGATTTTAAAATACTCACTGTGACAAAACTGACATTCATTATTATTTTTTAACACTATTGTTAGAGTTATCCATTGGAACGATCATGATTATTGAATTACTTTCACATATAAATTACTCAAAAACTCATACAGCCAGTATTGCCAACACAAACCTAGCTCCGCCTAAGCTTACCAATAAAGTTTTCTAAAATATCAAAGTATTTGTAAATAACAATACAAATACACACTGGTAAACTTACTTGTTGTTTACAAAAGTGCCCCCCCCCCCCCCACAAAACTCACTAATTATATATAAAAGTACCCCCCCTACCAAACTTATTCATTATATATAAAAGCGATCCCCCCTACCCAACTTACTCATTATATATAAAAGTACCCCACCACATAACTTACTCATTATATATAAAAGTGCTCCCCCCCCCCCCCCCCAACAAAACTTGTTTATTAAAGTGCCCCCACTCCCCACACACAAAACTTACTTATTATATAACTTACTTATTATATAAAAACTTACTTGTTGTATATAAACATGTCCCCACCCCCTGACACAAAACTTACTTGTTGTATATGAACGTGTCCCCCACCCCCCACCCCCTGACAAAAAACTTACTTGTTATATATGAACGTGTCAGGCTTCCAGATCTGGTCAGCTGGAATCCTGAGTGACCTGACATTTTTGTACTCCACTGGGTCCCAGGACAGTGCCGGGTCAGTCCAGGTCTGAGACACACAATAAAATAATTAGACTTCTGTGTGAGATATTTGTGCATCGGTTGTAACACTTTTTAATATCGTTAAAAAGTGATGACAGCAGTTCGATCGAACCACAGAGGTTCGGAGAATCAGTCTCAGTGGTTCAGCGGAGGTCAAGACACACAACCGACTCATAATTTGCGATCGGATTTTGTCAGTGTTGACGATAGAAGTTACTGTCATCGGCAGTGGTAATAAGTAATGTAGTGGTAATAAGTTTACGGAACTCAATAGCAAGTTAGAAGCTTTGGAGGTCCACAGAAACACGCAGGTTTGGCTGCACAACTGGACAACTAAAAGAAATGTCGCGAATTGAGGCACTATTAGTGACGGATGGAATAGTCTTCCAGGATGCAACATTGAGGCGAACAAGTTGGCATTTGGAGTGCTGACGGTCTTCGGGTCAACATATTCATGCAAGGAAGCGTTTTCTTACATGAATACAATATAAAGTATAGAAGCCAACTAACTAACTAATAAAAATCTAGAGGCGTGCTTGAAACTGAAAACAACTTACGAGCCAGGTTTAAACAAATTTTCAAAAGGCATGCATGGCCAAACTATTGTAAATAGTATTCAACAATTAAAGTTATAGAACGTGATTACTGATTTTATTATTCTAGCAGATCTAGATAAAATACTGTAATATTTTTTCTGCGAAACATGTGTATGTTTTTATATAAATAAATATTATTTTATATTTAAAGCTATTTATTTTAAATATATATATATATATATATATATATATATATATATATATATATATATATATATATATATAATCGTAATCCAATAACATAATATTGATATAAAATCTTAGTGGCTCTTTTAAAACTGGGAACTTTGGTAAATTGTAACTTTTGGCTCTTCTGTTTCAAATGGTTGCCGACCCCTGGGCTAGTGATGTTCAGTACTTTAAAAATGTGGACAACCACCTAGATAGCATTGAAGAGAGAAAAAGGGATTATAGACGATATTATTGAACTAAAATTTAACATTATCAAGTGGTTATAAGAACAAGCGTTTCATTCTAACAATAATAATGATAATAAAATATAGATAAACTTCTTTGACAATTAATTTAGTAGATAGCTAGCACTTATAGTATGGTTTTCAAAATGTATTACAAATGTTTCTATGCCAGCATCATTTGTGAATATCGACTCGCCTGAACGATTGAGTTTACTCTACCAACTCATTATCTCCCCTTTTGTTATTAAAAATAGCAAGCTTTGTGGTCGTCCATAAATGACGTCACATTCGTAGGGGGGAGGGGGTCCGTAATTTTGTGAAAGTGTGTGATGACCAGAGGCGTAGCGACCCTTCCCGGCGCCCGGGGACAAACTTTTCGATTTGCACCCCCCTCGAGATTTCCATTTGCACCCCCCCCCCCCCTCAAAGTTTCGATTTGCACCCCCCTCAACCTTTCTATTTATTTTTCCAACCCATTTTGGCGCCCCCTAAGGTCGGCGCCCGGGGACATATGTCCTTCCCCGCCCCCCCCCCCCTCGCTACGCTACTGGTGATGAGGGGTCGGAGGGTTCAGATGGTGTGACGTCACACTTTTGCATTATAAAAAAGCAATGTTAGAAAACGAGTTTTAGCCGTTATTTCGCGTTTTAGAAAACTGTTTTAATAAATTGTAATAGGAACTGGTTAAAATACTCTATGTTGACAGAGTTCAGACAAGATTTTAGAAAAACTATCGATGTTTTAAGACAAATTTAACTGCAATTTTGAGGGGAGGGGGGGGGGGGTTGTAGACCGAGGTGTGACGTCATTTTAGAGGTGGGGGGGGGTCTGGTTTTTTGTGACGATGTGTGACGGAGAAAAGGAGTGGAGGGGTAATGATCGTCAATAAAAACGTGACCTCATTCATGGATGAGCCCTTGAGGTTAATGTCAAAAGATAGATTTAATGTCAAATTATACTAAAAAATTTAAACGCACTCAACTGAAAAACAAAACATCGCCGATTACGTTAGAGTTGAGTAGGCCTACTGAGATTTGACAACAGACAACAGAACATTTTGCCACAAGTAAAAGCATGTTTTAAAAAAAACAAGATACTTTTCTTGTTTTTAATCACAGCTACAGACATGCAACTCATCACGTAGGCCTAGACAATATTTTTAACATTGGCATCGTTCTGTCTCCCAACAACAAAAGAAAACACGTTTTACAGCCAATCTCCGACTTCCGGTACTAAAGTTCACGACATCAACACCGAATCGATTACTGAACAAATGTTCCTCGTCTATATCCCCTACCCCCCGCTCGCACCACAGTGGTGTAACAAGGCGGAGGTGACAGTGTTTCTTCCAGACTTTTTTCTCAGGGGAGGGGGGCACTTGAAGTTTTCGGGGTGGGGGGGGGGGTGGACTAAAATTTCCCGGGGGGGGGGGGGGGTTGGAGCGGACACTGTTAAAAGTATATATTTTCTATATAAATTATATAAATTTAATTTCGTTCGGGGGGGGCGGTAAAAAAATTTCGGGGCGGACACTGTTTAAAGTATATATTTTCTATAAAAATTCCATTTCGTTCGGGGGGGGGGGGGGGGGTGGGTAAACTGGAGATGCTTGGAAGGAACTCTGGGAGGTGGGGGGGGGGGTTGGTGCGGTCTAAACCAGTGACACCATTTAGAGGGTGACACCATAACGAAAATTCGGAAAAAAATTACTGTGAAAACAATGTTTTTTCTTCACCCGATCACGTGACACCCCTGTTTTTTTTCCCCCGAAAACATTCGTGTCTACCTTATGTACGTGACCACCACGTGTAACGCTAGCGACAGTTACCGTGTCAAGTCACAGTCACCAAATGTTATCCAAGTGTCCTGACCTCAATGTTATTGAAACGTTAGCCCGTGTCATCATTAGTGTTACTCCTTGTAGCCCAGGCTTACCCCAAAGTTTACTGGTATTACCCCAAATGTTCCACTGTGTTGCTCAATGATCAATACTACCCCATGTGACCCAAATGTTAACCCGTATTACCCCATGTTACCCAAATGTTAACCCGTATTAACCCATGTTACCCAAATGTTAACCCGTATTACCCCATGTTACCCAAATGTTAACCCGTATTAACCCATGTTACCCAAATGTTACCCCGTATTAACCCATGTTACCCAAATGTTAACCCGTATTAACCCATGTTACCCAAATGTTACCCCGTATTACCCCATGTTACCCAAATGTTAACCTGTATTAACCCATGTTACCCAAATGTTAACCCAGATATTACCCCATATTACCCAAATGTTAACCCGTATTACCCCCAGTTACTTAAATTTTACCCTGTGTTACACCAAACTTTACACCACATTACCCAAAACGTTACCCCAAACGTTACCCCAAAAATTACCCCACTTACCTGGTCTATGAAAACGTTTGTGGTCAACACCTGCTGTCTTTCATTCTGAGAAGAAAAAAACAATATTGTCAACGTTAGTGTGGCTATAAAAATTACTGTAATCTTTGTTGAGTGCGGTTAAAAAAAAAAGACGCCAAGATGTTTGAAAATCTATAGTTCTAGGGCAGGGGTCGG